GAAATATGTACTAACTTGTATTTTTAAAATATTTTAAAACATTATTAAAAATTAAATTTATTTATATTTTAAATTATTTTAATATGTGAAAAAAATATTATTAAAAATTAAATTTTTTTATATTTTAAATTATTTTAATATGTGAATTTGAAAAATAATTTTTAAAAAATAAAAAATATTATATTAATATATTTTAATATAAAAAATATTTTAAAAAATAATAACAACCACGTCTAAACAGTGTGGGACTGTTCTTGCATCGGCAGATTCAAAACACTCCGTTTTATTCAGCCCAAAAACGCCACCGTTGAGGAAAACGAATCACGAAACGTTTCGGACTTGCTGTCTTGTGAAACAAGTCCAGAGAGCTCAACCCATCTGACTATCTCTACAAAAGCAAAGCAGCTCTTTCTCTCAAGAGCAAGAAATTGTTAAGCAATTTAGATCCAATCAAAGATGTTTCTCACAAGGTAATGAATAAGCTCCATTATTAGTTCCCTTTCATAAAAAATCTCCCTTCTTTTTTTATCTTTTTCTTTGACGATTTGTGTTTGATGTTTTAAAATTTTGAAAAAAAGGACCGAGTATGATAGAGGAGTCAACACTTTCTCTCCAGAAGGAAGATTGTTTCAGGTTGAATATGCTATTGAAGCCATCAAGGTAGCCCTCTAAACCCCTCTTCAAAACCCTTTTCTGTTACCACTGAAAAAGTTCTTATCTTTTTTTTTTTATCTTTTGATATTTCACTCAAATCCCATTACTGAACGTTCGATCTTATGCATCTTATTCGGATAGAACAGGATTGTTTTGTGAATTTTTCAACTGGGTTTTGAAGGATTAGTCTTGTTAACGGCGTTATCGTATAAGTTTTCACCATGATATTTTTAAAACCACAGGATGTGGCAAGTTTTTTGGGGTTTTCTATATGAAAATAATTAAGAGACCCGTGAATGTACTTGGTAGTTTCTCTATTATCGACAGTATTTTTATTGGTTGTGGGTACTAATAATTCATAGAAGTAGATATTGATGGCTAGCTATAATTTGAACTAATTAGCTTTTAGGAATGTCCTTTAAATATATGAAGTGGTTTAAATTATAAGTCCTTCAATCCATATAAATAAGCTAAAAAATGTTAATGATTGGATATATTCACGTGTTTGTAAGAACTTGGAGAACTGTTTTTCTCCTCCTTTTTGTTATATGTTTATTCTAAAGCAATAAGATTTCAGATTATCTAAGTAACCTATGGAGTTTTTAATTATATGGGCTGTTTGGTGTGACAATATGAGTTTGTGAGGAATTCCCATTGCCATGTTGATGCGTTATAACCCATGGTCAGAATACGTGATTAACAACACATTCACTATGAGCCGTCTCAACGGGAAAATTTTCAGTTCTCCTTTCTAAGAAACCTGCAAAATTGTTGACTTTTTAGAAATCTTTAGTGATCTTGATTGTTTGTATTTTTAAACTTCTACTTCATAATGATGCCTTTGTTTGGCCTCCCCTCGCCTCCCTTTCAATCTTCTCTCTTCATGGTCTTCATGAGGTTGAGCTGGTTTTTACATGATTGAAAATAAAGTTCAGTTTTATTTTAATCACAGCTCGGTTCAACTGCAATTGGTTTAAAGACGAAAGAAGGTGTTGTGCTTGCAGTTGAGAAGCGTATCACTTCACCTCTGCTGGTTTGTCTCTTTCTCCTTGCATCCACTTTTCATTTTATTATATTACATGTTTGGTTCACTTCTGATTTGATAAACCTAAGAATGGATCGACTTTATATGCCAGTTTGATGATTTCCTTTGGTTTGTTTCTAAGAATGTATTGTTTTGAATTTCCACTATGCATGGTTGCATACTGGAGTGACTGTGAAATGAGACTTGTGGATCTGGACTTTATAACACATTCAATGAAGTGGTAGTTCTTTATATTTGACTATTGACTCCTGAAGAGCTTTATAAATTAATAACCGAAATCCGTCATGATGCATAAGCTCTGGAAACTTTTCCATGTTCCATGATATATTTGCAGCAATCCTAATATCTGATTGATAACTCATATTCGGGAGAAGTGTTCCTGCAGTCCTGCTATTTTTTATGTAATAGGTTTGTCTTGGTTGTGTTGAAAGTACACTCTAACTTAGTCATAGAGAACTTGTTTCTTGGTCACACTTGGTAATGTTTAAAATGTAGATGAGTATAGCTTTATTTCAGTCATCATTCTGTTCAATTCATTTTTTCAGGAGCCCAGTAGCGTGGAGAAAGTCATGGAAATTGATGAATGTATTGGATGTGCTATGAGTGGACTAATTGCAGATGCTCGTACACTTGTTGAGCATGCCCGGGTTGAAACTCAGGTATAAGTTAATTGTAATTGTTTCTGCTGCTGCCATGATTTGGGCACGGTGAAATTGCTCCTCCACTTATTTCTTAAAAATTTATTCTTCAGAACCACAGATTCTCGTACGGTGAGCCTATGACAGTGGAGTCTACAACACAAGCACTCTGTGATCTGGCCCTGCGATTTGGTGAAGGTGATGAAGAATCCATGGTAATAGTTGTTTCCCTTTTGATAATTTTTTTATATGAGCTCTCAATTCTTCATTTATGATATTCTTTTTATCGCCAATTCCCAAGCTACTGCTGTTTTTATTCATTATGATGTGCCCCTATTGGGTAAAGATGTTAAAAATCCTTTTTCCTTTTACTGGCAAAGTTGTTTGATCATTTTCATGTATTTGTCTTTTAAATTCAATTGTGATGCTCACCCTCTCTATGTATACCATATTGGAAAATACATGAACCGTTCCTTATTGCTAAATACTAGAAATGTGTGATCACCATTGTTCGTTAAGCTGCTATGGTGCATCTATTTATCTTCAAGTGGGTTGTCTTGAAAATGCTTACACTGCCAGATCCTCCTATGCTCTGGGAAGATAAAAGAAAAAAAAAAAAGCAAGTTTCTGTTCTTGCCACTTTGACATGCAAATGATTGTTATCCAAACAATTTTTCATGCCATAATCTAGGTTGAACGTGGAGATATCAATATTATATGCTTTATTCTATGTTTTTACATATGAAGATTTTTCTCCTTTGCAGTCTCGTCCATTTGGGGTGTCTCTTCTCATTGCTGGTCATGATGAGAAAGGACCCAGCTTGTAAGTATTACTAATTTGTTTTTCTGTGTTAGATTCATTTCAAATAATTACATTACCACAAGTTACAATGGCTGTAAATTAGTTTTCCATTTGGTTTGGACACTTTCTAGTTGATACATAAACAGTGATTACGGGACTGGTCGTTGTTTTATTGAAGGTATCCCCTTTTTCCTCTTTTATTTGAATTATCTTGTGGGACCTTAGTCCTAGGCCCAAAATAGGAGCATTTACCACCATGGGAACTACTGATTTCAAATACATATCAAGTCAACTACCTATAATCTCTCTTTGATCTCCCCCCCCCCCCCCCCCAAAAAAAAAAAAAAAAAACTCTTGTGGTTGAGTTCACCTATCATTTTTTATTCCCTTTCCTCCATGCCTTTTTAGCTGCAAAACATGTTATATTAACAGCACAGTATTACTTGTGTTTTTGCTTCTCTTTGGCCTAAAACAAGGAACTTCCATTATGCAGGTACTACACAGATCCATCTGGCACGTTTTGGCAGTGCAATGCAAAGGCTATTGGTTCAGGTTCAGAAGGCGCAGACAGCACTCTGCAGGAGCAATATAACAAGGTATTGCTGCTTAGATTCATATTTGCCTCTTTCCCTTCCTTGGAACACTAAAAGACTTGGTAATACAATGACCAATGGAGTTTGAATGAAAAGGTTGCTGAATGGTTGCATCTTTCCAAATGATAATGAGTTGTCATCCTTGCTAATGAACAAGTTTATTAGCCTTCTTAATTGTCATCTATCATATCTTTTACTTTAAATTAGAAGTTGGAATAGAGATTGATTTTGGTAATCATGTGCAGGACCTCACTCTTAAAGAAGCTGAGACAATTGCTCTTTCTATTCTAAAGCAAGTCATGGAAGAAAAGGTTAGAACCTTTATTCTGCGTAGTAAAATGGGAGATTTGTGTGTATTTATGCATGCAATACCTCTTTATCCGTTTCCACTTAAAGTTCAATCAATTGAGCTGTTTAGTTGTATTGTTTACACTTTACTTCATTATCATTAACTGGTTTCTGCTAATAATTTCAGGTGACTCCCAACAATGTCGACATTGCCAAGGTGGCACCTGTATACCATTTATACACCCCTGCTGAGGTGGAGGAAGTCATTAGCCGCCTTTGAAAACAACGTTAATTTCCTTATGATACCCCTTCCCTAAATTTTGCTTGAACAGTTCAATTTTTCCTCTAAACTGGGCTAGATTATGGGATTTGGATCACGTGGTGACTCCACTTGAGTGATAAATGTTTTATTTTGACCGGTAACTGGTGTGAGTCGATGTTTTTCTTCAACTTTAAGGTCAATCTGGTGTGAATCAACGTTATTCCTTCAACTTTAAGGTCAATCTTTTCAAACGTTTAGGGATGGCAAGGGATATCTATGTGGAACGAGTAAAAAATTTAGATGTTTTTATCAGAAACATATCCATCGGATACTAATATTTTGTTAGATTATGATTTATTACATTAAAAAATAAAATAGTAATATATGTCTATTCGATTGGAAAAATTATAAATATTCAATGTATACATTCTGTATGATATAACTATATGTCTTAGGTTTATCTTATTATTAATTAAATAAGATGATTATCCTTTATTAAATTTAGATTAATGGGCTGTTTGAATTATCCTTGATGTCAGTATTTATTAAATTTAGATTAATGGGCTGTTTGTTTTTATGTTTTAAAAATATTTTATCTTTTTACTTCAAATTAATTTTTTTGTATTTTTAAATTATTTTAATGGAATAATATCAAAAATAATTTTTAAAAATTTATATTTTTTTAAATAAAAAAACTTAAAAAAATAACAATAACTATACTTTCAATCACCCTCTCAATAAATTATCATCCCCGCGTACAGGACATCACGTGCTCTCTGTGTACAGCAGACGAGCAAGGATCGTTAGCCCCATCAGATGTTTTCAAATGGTGGTACAATATCCGGCTGTTATGATATTGCAATTGGTAAGACAATGTTTTTTTTTTTTTTATCATGGCATTTCGTATTCTTCGATGCTTTGCATTAAATTCAGTAACTGGACATATAAAATATGTAAACAATACATAGACGGTAGAATGTAGCTGCTAACAAAAATATACATCACAGGACGATGCTTAAGAAAAAAAAGAAATCAATGCTTGAGGGGCAAATAGCTTATAGATTAAACATGTTGCCTGGTTTTATTTGTTATCAGACATGACCGACGAAGGCCAGAAAAAAATCCGGCCAATTAAAGGAACTGACGAACCGTGAGCAGGGACGGACACAACATGTCAAGATTTAGAACTTGACACCACCTTCATATAAACCTGCAATACCACAGACCATGCGCTATATACATTCACATGTCCATGAGGACGTTAGGTAGTTGGGGCCTGGGGGCGTGTATTATTTGCAAGAGAATGAAGAGGATGCAAAGATATTATCATTATTGAGCCCAATTGTGCTGCAGAAAGATCTCTCAACTTCGTTTTCAAGAAATGTGATTACAATCCAACATATCTTTCACGATCACAAAGGGAAACACTTCGATGGAGGAACAATGAAGAAAAACCTCTATATATCCTTCCAAGAAAAAAAATTACAATGTATCACGGTAACATCCATCGTTGTATTAAAATCATGGGCTACTATCTTATTTTGTAACTTTTCCGAGTTTGAAATGCAAAGATCCTTCAATCGCGAAACTCATCCATGAAACTCTTGTGGAACTCTGTGAGACGGGAGACAACTGCTGGAATCTTATCTTCTTGAGGTAGTATGGTGCACCTAAAATGCCAAGTGCCCGGAAGCTTTCACGAAAAACATCAATTCAAAGGATGAGTCAAAAGAATGATGGAGGAGAAGATAGAAAAAAAAAAAAAAATTTCGCACAATTATTGAACTAAGTTAACAAACTCACCTGCCCAAAGCCAGAACCAGTTTTATTTTTTTTTGCACAATTATTGAACTAAGTTTACAAACTCACCTGCCCAAAGCCAGAACCAGGAACAAAAACAATTCCAGTGGCATTGAGTAGACGGCGACAATAGAAGTTATCTGGAGCTGTTTTTGCAGCTTCGGCAGTTTTAATTGCCTTTTCAGGCAAGCGGATGCAGGGGAAGAGATACATTGCCCCTTCTGCTTTGTTGCAAGTTACACCCTCTAGATTATTGAATGCGACTTCCAGCGTCTAGCATTATGTAACAAATGATTATCTATACTTTTTTTAGATAAAGAAGTGGGGAGAAAAAGGAGAGCATGCTTAACAACCAAGCAATTTTTACTAGCTGTACGTCAGCAAAGCCCAAAGTATAGCGCACACATCTACTATACATAAAGTACAAAGAGAAGCATAAAAGAGTCACTAACACATTTTTTACTCAAAAATTGTATTACCACAAATTTGCAATTACTTCAAAATTCAGTTTATTCCTCGTAAATTTAATATTTTATCTTGACTATGTTAACTAATGCATCAAATTGGCTGCTGCATTGAACTGACCTTTGCACGTCTCGCTAAAGATGAGAGGATTCCATCTTTTTCAGCAGAGTATGATTCATATGATTCATCTCCGACCTGCACACATAACGCATGGAGATCAGACATGATATAAAATATGTAAAATCTTAAAGAGTTCTTTCTTTTCCCTCTGTGTTCTCGCTAACAACACGGCACAAAATGTGTTTCCAAGTTTGTCAAAGCTTAGGCTGGTCTAATCCTGGATTATAAATCCAAATGTCACAAGCATAGGAAAAATTTAAGTTACTAAAAAAATTTAACCTTAGGCGGGCTCATGACAAGACTTGCAAGAATTTGACCAGAAATGTTGGAACACAGATTCACAGATGCAACTTTGTATATTTGCTCTCTTATTCCAGGACCAACCCCAGTGCCTCCCATGTACCCTCCTCTCTTTCCACACTCTCCATAGTAACCTAAAACATTACAAACGACACATGTTCACATATTTAATCAGAAAAGTGCAGGATCTCTTAATTTTAACTTATAAATCAATCTTACCTTTAGAGACAGACTGAAAAGATACTAAAGATATATCCTTTTCACCATATCCCATAGACCGAGCAACCTTCTTAAATGAGTGGAACTCTTTCTCAGGAACATAAACATTTTCCTGATAAACCTGGATGAAATTCATTGTATAATTATTGGGTCAATCAACCTAGACATAGTAAGAAGTCAAGAATGTAACACTAGTTCAAAACTATTGGCAAGCACCCACCTCATCTGCAAGAAGGACAAGGCCTTCTTGCTTGCAAAACTCCACAATCCCCCGCTGATTATCCTCTGCAAGAACCTGAGGCATGGACAAAGGAAGTTAAATTATTCAAGCCAGCCAGAAGTTATTGGCTCCTTTGTAAGAACGGTATTTACAAAGTTTTAAACTCTCGCTCATTTGAAAATCTTATCCATTTTCTGTAAAGCTAATTACTGTTTACCTGCCCTGTTGGGTTTCCTGGATTTATCACAACCAGGGCCCTAGGGGTAATTCCCTTGGACTTTGCATCTGCCAACTGCTTCTTAAGCTCAGAAACTTCCAAGCCCCACCCAGTTGCTTCATCAAGATAGTAGGGAACCTGAAACAAGTATAGAGGGCTTACAGCCATAAGTCACCTACCACTAAAGACACCAGGATATCTAGCCGAATAACTTCGGACAAATAGCATTTTCATATAAAAGACACATACCAGAGCACCACCATGGAGAGCAATTGAAGCAGAGTACAGGGGATACTGAGGAATGGGACAAAGTATGCCATCTTTCTCTGATCGCATCAGTAACTGCATCATCATGTGGACCTGGCAATAAACAAACACATTGAGTTTCATTTGAAGCAAGTACAATACATACCAGTCTCTTTCTATACGGGATTAAATGTTACCGCTGGACTTGCACCATCTGTCAAGAAAATATCATTTGGATCAGCAGGAAAGCCATCGCGGGCTTCAATTCCAGCAGCAATTGTATCACGCAGTCCTTTGATTCCCTGATGTGGAGAGGGAAATATGAGTCATGTTCTACACAAATATTCCACTTGAATGGAACTTTTTAAAGTCCACAAGGTGAGAGCTTCGATTATAACCTGGCTGTGACTATAAGCACCAGTGGCCCTTCCAGGAATTTGATCAAGAATCTGCCAAGCTCTCTCTATGGCATCAGCACTAAAAATATTCACAGAAATGTATCAGGTATCCTACAATATTTCACTAAATCAATAAAAATGGAGAGAGTTCTTGTATAAAATCTAAACAATTAAAAAAAAGGCAGAATCAAGAATTCAAGGTTAACTTGCATACCCTAAATGGTTCTTAGTAAAGGAAAAATGGTATGCTCTTCTTTCTTCAATCATGGTGTAAACAAGTATAAAGAGAAGTTCAATGATCGCATGAGAAGTTTCAATACCTGAACAAACCCTGAGTTTCACTTCTGTCCAAAATAGAAGGATGGTCGCATAATGCAAGAACCTAAAGCGAAAATAATCAACAAGGAGAAACACCCCAATTGAACACATCACAGTACCCTATAAAGCACCACAACATACTTACCTCACGGAAAAAGGTGATAGGCTGCTGACCAAGAGACTGAGGATTTCCAATATTGCAGTAAAGTATCTGCCACAAGATGATAAACAAATCAAAATGAATCCTTTAGGGAATATCAGTTGAAAGAAGACATGCATGTAGCATCTCCTTTTACTTCTTTTTTTAATAGGAGTTGATCAAACACATCTTATATTATCTTGGTTGAAACAGAATGCCAATTCCTAGAAAAGTGAAAATCCAGCAAGTGAAATCTGCTTTCTGAAAAATCCAGAAGTGCAGGAAATTTCCTTTGAATCTTGTCACGAACAAAAAAAAAAAAAACCAACACAACACCACAAGGAAATTTCCTTTGAATCTTGTCACTAACAAAATAAAAAAAAATAAAAAAAAAGCAACAGAACACCACACATCAATAGCATCGAAAAAGAATTGAGGATCAAAAACATTAATCTACCTTAGGCAGCTTAACCGTGCTAGATAAATACCATGTTTACAAACCCAATAATAACAAAATGTAAAGATAAAAGCTACACACCTCATCAAAGGGGTGGGAGCCTGGCTTAGACTTTAACTCTTCTTGTAACGCCTGTTTAAGATGAAGGAAAATTCATGATCACGTCCAGTACATAAAGCTCCTTTAATAAAGTCACAATAAGTAAAAGCGCAAGCTTCAAATAGAAACATGCTGCCCTTTCTAACTTTAAAGTGCATGATACAGCCAATCATGTGAATTACCTGTGCAAGGGTGACAATCTCGCCACGGACAGCATATTCACATTTTAAAACCTGGGAAACAGAATATCATAGTTAACAAAGGAATGCAAGAGAGTTCAAGAAAAGTTAGCAATAACCAAACACTCAAGAATTCTTTAACCAAGGAATATCAGGAAACAAAACAAAAGGGGAACAAAGGAATGCAAGAGAGCTCAAGAAAAGTTACCAATAACCAAACACTCAAGAATTCTTTAACTTTAGAGCAGGGTTAAACGCTCCTTGACTACAGTAAAAATAAATATTGGTGTTTTTTCAGGTGAATCAAAGTGAAGCATTTATTTTTTTTCCTTAAATCGATAGTGGATAGCTAAGCTTTTTTTTTCCTTAAATCGATAGTGGATAGCACAGAAAGAGCTTTTGCATATTCTTAATCAGATTCTATAAAATATGATAATGTCACTAAGCAAAATTAAAAGTTTGCAATAAATAAAGCAATAAGATTTGATAAGATAAACATAGAAAGGATCGCTAGGCCTATGTGCTTTGCTTACTGGACTTCCAGTTTGAAGCATGAATTAAGGTTCCAATCTATTCGACCATTTTTAATGCATAAATGAGCAAAACCAAAAAAAAGGACACATTCATGTATGTATCCATAAAAGAAAAGGCAAAGGCAAATCAAGACAACCCAATAGCCAGGAAAGGAATCTAAAATAACAAAGACAAACAGAAAAGACAAACGAAACACTAGCATAGACCTAGAGCATATAAAACTCAATAAAACAAAAGAGGGAAAAAGAAAAGGAAAAACCCAGATGAAAAATCCAACCAAAATCAAGAACCAAACAGCTAATCAATAAAAGAAACAGCAGAATTGATGTTGAAAAGAAAAGAGGGCACCTTGGGATTAATGTTATCAAGAGAAACAGGAGGCATGGATGAAGGAGGGGGAGGGGGAGATTCAAGAACGGAGGTAGAAGACAGGAAACGTGAAGGAGAAGAGGCTAAAGGACGCAGCAGCAGCACGTTCCAATGATTTTGACAGGAGCAGTTTGAAAGGGCTTTAGCTGACCCAATAACGGATCTCCACATCCTCTTATATAATGTTCAGATGTTACTTGAATGACAGGAATGAAATATCACACACAAAAGAACTATGACTACAAGAAAGCACGAGAGAGTTGGGGGGGCAGAGAGAGAGAGAGAGAGATGTGTCTTTTCAGGGGAAAAAAAGTCGGACCCAATTGTCTATGGAACTACTTTCGAAAATGAAACAAACAAGTTCTGCCCTTTGTCTGGTCTTTCAGTTAAAGATTTTTAAAAAACAAAATTAGCAAAATAAGTTTAGAGTTTTGACATCATAATACCGCATGAAAAAAATTTAAAAAAAATAACATATCTTTACCTTATCACTAAATATATTATTTTCAAATATAAAAAAATAATTATTACATTCCATAAACAGACATTTAAACATATTATTTAAAAAAAAAACAACATATTTTCATTTTAGCACTAAATATATTATTTCTAAACATGATAAGAATACTGCATTTCATAAAAATTACATTTAAATATATTATTTTTCTAAAAACATAGCATGTCATGAAAATTGAATTTTTCTCAAGATTAAAGAACATATATACACATCAACATCTTCTTTTTTAAAAAAAAAAATTGATGTTTCTAGCTCCTATCTTTATAAGATATCAAACTAATTTTTAAAAAAAAAAATATTTTTGATATTATTATATTAAAATAATATAAAATTATAAAAAAAATAATTAAAAGTAAAAAAATTAAAGATTTTGAAAATTATTTTTTAAATGCAAAACTAGACGCTCTAAAAAACCCAGCAAATAATTGTTTTTTTCCCCCTTGAAACACTAAAAAATCAATGTCATCCTAATTTTTAGGCATTCTTAAATATTTTTTCGTTCAAAACTCTTTGTTGTCACCAATACCATATTGTCATCACCACCCCAACTATTTTTCTAGCCCTACAAGCAAGGTAAGCATTCTATATTGCTATGAATTTATGGTTAGTTTAATTCTAATTGAATAATCATTTAGATTGAATTTAGGATTTATTGAGTTAATGATAAGTTAGTTATGAATACCATTAATTAGGGTTAATTTAATATAGTTAAATATTAAAATAAATTATGTTAATTACCTCAATTAATTATGTTTTGCATTTAATTTTAGATAAGTTGTCGAATTATAGATTTTGCGTGGATTATTGGAATCAGTTAATAATATAATTAACTACATTCGATGGTTTAATGCAATCGAGCTTGAATGTGGTAGAATTATGACAAATTATATATTGTGTTAAATTATTGATAAGTTGACGAGTTTGATATTTTCTTTAAATTATTTTAATTTATTATGAATTTGGGTTTGATTCAATGCAATTAAGTATGAAGATATCAATCAAATTTGGTATTGTAAATCATATTTTATTTTGATCAAATTTGCTTTTACATTATTTGTTTGGAATTTGATTGAATTTGCTAAGAAATTTGTCAATTAAAAACAAGATAATATAATTTAGTTAGGATTATATTCAACATGTTATAGGACATTATATATGTGTATATATAATGTCCTATAACATATTATACCAAGCCATTATAGTGAAATTGTTGTTATTAACGTGAATAGTAATATCACAAACAATAACAGAAATAGTTTATTGTTAAACAATAACTTAGACACTTTACATGCAAAAATTTAAAAAATTATTTATTATAGACTTAAGTAAAATTATTGGAATCAGCTAGTAATATAAATTAACTACATTTGATGGTTTAATGCAATAGAGCTTGAATGTGGTAGAATTATGACAAATTATATGTTGTGTTAAATTATTGACAAGTTGACGAGTTTGATATTTTCTTTAAATTATTTTAATTTATTATGAATTTGGGTTTGATTCAATGTAATTAAGTATGAAGATATCAATCAAATTTGGTATCATGAATTATATTTAATTTTGATCAACTTAGGCAAAGTATGAGCTAGATACAGTTGTGTTATTGATGAATCCATATCATCTAGTAAACAACATAGACATGAATCCATATCATCTAGTAAACAACACAGACGTAAATAGATAAATGAGCTATGTTAATATATTTTGGAATTTAAATTACTATAATATTGTATTATTTAAGTATTTAAGATTTATTTTTTATGTGTGTGCGCACGTATATTTTCCGGGACTACTTGCAATCTATAAAATGTGATAATTTGTTGAGTTTGGATATTATGAATTTTTATAGGGTTTTTTAAGTATGATGTAATTGTAGGTATAGTTATACAAGGGAAACATGGTCAATTTTTTTAAAAATTTAAAAAATAACTTTTAAAAATTATTAACTAAGTTAAATATTATATTAATAAACTAAATAATAAATCTCATAAGAAACTTTTTTTGTTAGAATTAAATGTTGGAGAAATTTGTTGTTATAAGAGTAAAATTTAATTGATATTGCGGTTCAGAACCATAATATTTAATTAAATGTTATATCCGTAAATTGCAATATCAATTAAATATCACGACTTAGAACTGTAATATCCAAATATATACTATCTTACTTAAACTTTTTACTGACATAAAAGTATTTAAGAGTATAGTACTAATTACTTTTTAAAATATTTTTTCTTATAAATATATAAAAATAATATTTTTATTTTAAAAAATTTATTTTTAATATCGGCATATCAAAATAATTTAAAAATATAAAATATTAATTTTAAATAAAATTAAATAAATTTTCATGAAATATTATTTGAAATACAATTTCAAACAACACGGTAATAATTTACAATTTCTTTTTATTTCGTATGCTAATTGGGAAATTTATCCTCTGTCCTCGGAGTTCTTTGAAACAGGGGCTCGAAGAGAAGTGCACCTTCAGATGTGGTAGGGTAGGGCCCTCTTTCTTCTTTTGAGCTTTCATGACGTTGAAGTACAGCTTGCATAGTCAGCATATTCTAATGCCAGCTCATGGTAACGACAAAATTAGTCATGGTAATAAGGACAAGAATGGCTGCCTGTGTGACACGCAAGCATGAGCTTCGCGTTTGATGGAAATGTACCCTGTATAAAAAAGGGCTCAAGCGGCAAAAACTTTGCGCGTGCGTATAATTTGACTCTTTAACATTTGTTTTTAGTAAAATATTCTAATTATTCTCTTGATTAAAACCTCTAAAGCTACTTAAGAGGTTTATTTAGTATTTTACTTTTAAAATACAATAAAATAAAACATTTATTCCTTAAAAAAAATATAGAGTAGCATTTTTTGTCTTTTACATAGATTTTTTTTTTGGAATTCTACATCATTGAGGGCATTTTCATTTTTTAAGTTTTATTAATTAATTTTTAATTAAAAAATTAGATGATTCATCTTGTGCAAGAGCTAATTCTGGGAGGCGCTGCACTTTGGAATTATACATGTGGTGTTTTCTAGTTAGGGGCGGAGCTAGCAGTATTTTATAGGGAATGCAAAAACTAATATAACAAAATAATTAAAAAACTTATTTATTTAAAATAAAAAATATTATATTATTTTATATTTAAATAATAAATAATAAATAAATATAAAATGTTTTATAGGGTCAAACCCTTGCTTGCCTCCTCCTAGTTTCTAGTGATGGTGATACGATAAAAAACAAATAAAAAAGAATTTGTCAATTAGAAACCTTTTTATTTTTTTCTTATTCACTCTCACCTTCTCTAAGAATTTCTAGTTTGTCATTTCTCTTATTATTTTAACTTCAATTCTTATTTTATTTTTATTTTTATTTTTTTATTCATGATCCTTTATAAAAATAATAATTTGATTTCAATTTTAGATTTCAATTCCAATTTATCATATATTATTTTTTAATTTGATCCATATTGTTTTTATTTTTTTCCCCAACTATTTTATAAAAGATTTATTGGTTTTTAATTTTATCATCTAATTCAGATTTGTGATACATTATTTCTAACAATTTAATCCTAATTCTTTTGATTTTATTTTATTATTTTAATAATGTTATTATTTTTTTCAATTTATTTAAAATTTATTGTTGCCCCAAAATTTATTTTTTAATTTTTATTTTAACCCTTATTTGTTTAGTTGCTATTTTTATTTTGAATATTTTTATGTAATTTATTTATTTATTTTATTTCATCCTTTAGCATTTTATTATTTGGGGATTGGGTTTCATATTCTTTTCATATATGATATTTCTAGTTTGGTGATCCTAATCACAGGATTGAAAAGTTAATACGGTTGACATCCTTTCTTTTTTCCGCTTATTTGCTTTTTTCATGCCTTCCTTTGACATTGTTTTTTTTTAAAAAAAAAAAAACCTTTATGGTTTTTTTTAAAAAAATTATATTAAGTTATTTTGATCTCATGATCTAAAACGCAAGTCTTACGAGTTAATCTAGACCGGTCCACCTTTTAATGTCCACATTACTTGTCTATTATGTTAGCTCGAGTTGACTCGTATCGATTATTTTGTTATTTTTTACTCTATTTCATTCTTTTTTATATTTTATTGGCTAAAAAATGAACATCATTTTTCCGCTCTTACATAAAGGATTCTTTCAAGTTATCGTGATCTTTTTACACACACATATATATTGTTGCTCTTCTTTGTCCAATTAAAAAAATAGCTTTTTCTTGCTTGTTGGGACCGTAACTTAAATAACTGGGTTTTTCTTTTTTTAAAAAAAAAACATACTTGCAGCACTTAAATATTTCATGAGAAAAATAGTGTTGTCCCTCGTCTAGCATATACACACACGAGCATGTTTGGGAACGCGGTGCAAACCGCGTTCCCAAAAATTTTGAATCTTTTACTTAAAGTGAAAAAAAAAATATGTTTTTATATTATTTTAATGTGCTGATCTAAAAAATATTTCTTTTAAAATGAAAACACTTCATTTTAATACATTTCTAAATGAAAAGTACTTTGAATCGCCACTGCTACCATAATTTCAAACAAGCCCTAAATAAATACTGCAAGATGGATTTTTCTCTTAAATAAATAAATATGTTGCTAATATATATTTTTATAACAAAAGTAATTTAATTATTAATTGAAAATATAATGTATCATGGACAACACCTTTTTTAAATACTAAGATAGCGATATCCGGTTAACATTATTTGTTTTTAATAGTAAGATAGTGAAAAGCGTAATTTATTCGGGTTAATCTTAGTTAACTTAT